GGAGGCGTGGATTCTGGAAAGTGCGTGTGCGCGTCCCTCGAGCACCGCCCGCGGAGCCGATTGGCCAGCACGCGCGGCGGGGGAAGCCCTTGGCTAATCTCCTGCCACTCAGCCCGGCCGACGTCGGCGCGGGGCTGCAGCGCCGCGGACCTCTCGCCGCGCCGTGCCGTGCCATGCCGCGCGCGGAAGGACAAATAGTCCCGGCGGCAGTGCCGCGCGCCCCTTCGTGGCTCTGCTCGCCCCACCCTGGTTGCCGAGCCTGAGGCTGGGGCGGCGGGAAGTGGGAGCGGGCGGAGCAGGGTCGGCCTCTGCGGCTCTCCGACCCCGGCTCCGCTCTTTGCGGCCAGACGGGTGGATTGCGCTCCCTAGGGAAGAGTAATTGGATTCTGGGCTCCCTCCAGCCCGGATCAGCGGAAGTCGGCTGCCGAGCCTGCAGCCTGGGAGGGGCATGTGGGGAGGAGGGAAAGGTGGGGAGCCGCCGCCGGGAGGGACGCGGTGAAATCACTGTCCCCTTAAGTGCCTGCGTGCTTGTTTCTGTACAGGCCGCAGCGGGAAGCTGGGTATAGAGAAGGATTAGCAGAGACTGCACCCTGGTGCCCTTTCCCCTCAAGCACGTGACTCTTGCCCCTTCCAAGTTGTCTTACTCATTGTGAGATTCACCTGGTTGCTGATACTCAGGAGAGGAATACTTTGGAAGCCTTGAGTCTTCCAGCCATCACCCTTCTGTTTTTCTCTCAAAGCTCCACTTGGAGCTCAGCTGGAGAAGGAAGTGAAGTCTGTGAAGTCTGGAATTGCACATGTCTCTTACTAACGAAGTAATTTTGGAGAAAACAGCATTCTTACCACTATCATCCAGGAACGTATCCCAAGTCCCTGCGTTGGCAGTAGCAAACTTCCCTTAATTCCTTTCCCCTTGAGGAGATGCAGCCAGAGTGAGAGCCTTAAGCAGAGTTTTTGGGTGAAATGACAGGCATGTTCTAGGAATTGTGACTTAGACTCGGACCTCTTGTGATTTTTTTTCTTTTCATCTTAATTACCGCATTTCACTCATTCATCATGAAAGAAACTCTTATTGAAGGCTTTGTTTGTGCCAGGCTCTGTTCTACTTATCAGACATACATCAGTGAGTAAAACGAATGCACTCTTGGAACCTCATTACAGTTGCTCCAGTGGGGGAGATAGTACATTTACAATCATACACAATTGTATAATGTCATGTAGGGAAAAGCGCTATGAAGAAAAAGCAGAGCAGAAGGACAAAGAAGGATGCAGATGAGAGTTGGACACTATTTTATATTTTAGATAAGTTGATTGAAGAAGGCCTCTTTGCGGAAGTTATGTTTAAACAGAGGTCTGGATGAAATGAGGTAGAAAGCCAAGCAAACATTGGGGTTGTAGGGGGTGGGGAGAAGTTTCTGGGCAGAAGAAAGAGCAAGTGCAAAGGCTCTGCAGCCAGAGACAGTTTGGTGAGTTTGAATTAGTAGAAAGGAGGCCAGTGTGAATGCTGTGCAGTAAGCCAGAAAAACAATTGGAAATAAGGCTGGAGATGGGGTGATGACTATGTGCGTGCTTGGTATTTACTTTTAACATAATTTGAAAGTTCTCTAAGTTTTATTTTTTATTTTTTTATTTATTTTTTTTTTTGAGACGGAGTCTCGCGCTGTCACCCAGGCTGGAGTGCAGTGGCCGGATCTCGGCTCACTGCAAGCTCCGCCTCCCGGGTTCACGCCATTCTCCTGCCTCAGCCTCCCGAGTAGCTGGGACTACAGGCGCCCGCCACCTCGCCCGGCTAGTTTTTTGTATTTTTTAGTAGAGACGGGGTTTCACCGTGTTAACCAGGATGGTCTCGATCTCCCGACCTCGTGATCCGCCCGTCTCGGCCTCCCAAAGTGCTGGGATTACAGGCTTGAGCCACCGCGCCCGGCCGCCTCTAAGTTTTGTATGCACTAAAGTGTCCTACATTCTTCCTGTGTCTCCACCAGACACTACATTTCATTTCATTCAGAGACACCATTTTTTTTCCTCCCGGTCTAGCAGTGTTTATTTCTGCTTTTCTCTCACCCTCTTGTACTCATCTACAACTATTGATTCAAGTGTTTCTTCTGTGCAAATCCTTATCTTTAATGTTACCTTTTTTGCCCCCAACTTGTATATTTGCCTCTTTATCTCATCAACGTATTTAATTGGACATCTTGCCATCTTCCGGTTTCGACAGGTCCAAAAACCAATCTCATAATCTCATCTTTCCAAAATCACTTCCCTTCTTTCTCATTGATACCACTGCTATCTCTGCCACCCAAGCTGAATACATAGATGTCATTTTTTACCCATTCCTTCCTTTATTTCTTTTAACCAGTCATCTCAGGGCCTTCAATTTATCCTTTAAAATACCTCATGTCAAATCCCTTCCTCTGTCTCTACTTCAGGGTCTCTGTCTAAGCCCTTAAATGTTGCCAGCTAGGATTAGTTCAGCAGTTTCTACGTAACCTTTCTGACTTCCTTCTTGCTCTACTCCAATCTAACCTGCCAGAATAGTTCTTTTAAATCTTCACTCTTAGCACATCTCTTTGTGCTTCAGCACCTTTATGGCTAAATTTTCTATTTTGTTAAATTTAAACTCTTCTGACTGAATTTATTTTTCTTTTTTTTGAGACAGGGTCTCACTCTGTTGCCTACGTGCAAAGGCTGGAGTGCAATGGTGTGATCACAGCGCACTGCAGCCTCTACCTCTCAGTGTTCAAGTGAACCTCCCATCTCAGCCTCCTGAGTAACTGGGACCACAGGCATGTGCCACACACCCGGCAATTTTTTTATTTTTTGTAGAGACAGGTTTTTGCCATGTTGCCCAGGCTAGTCTTGAACTCCTGGGCTCAAGTGATCAACCTGCCCCGGTTTCTCAGAGTGCTGGGATTACAGGCATGAGCCACTGTGCCCGGCCCTGACTGAATTTCAAGCTCTTTCCCTAGTCTATTTCCCTTCTACCCTGTGAACCACTCCTCAGTCTACCACTTCCATTTTAGTTAGGTTTTCCCCAGAAGTATATTTATATTCACTCATTCCTATATGTATTTGTTTATGGATCTATCCTCACATAACTTAGTATTTGATTCAGTAAGGATCCACTGGTTACAAGTGACATAAAATCCAACCCAAATTGGTGTAAAGTGAGAAGGGAATGTATTCTCACATACCTGAAAAGTTGAAGATAGTTCTGTTAGATATGGCTTGGCTGAAGAGTTCCAACTATATCATCAAGATTCACATTCTCCACTTGAACCTGTGCAGAGGTTGCAGTGAGCTTGAGATCGCACCATTGCACTCCAGCCTGGGTGACAGAGCAAGACTCTGTCTCAAAAAAAAAAAAAAAAAAAAGAGAGAGAGAGATTCAGATTCTCCCCCACATGTTAGCACTCCCCTCTGCTGTTTGCTTCATTCATTCCACAAATGAGCAACCAGAAGCTCCAGACCATCCTCACTACCAACAAAGGTCAAGCGCCCATTCTTTTGTCAGCCAATCAGTGTTGCCAAAAGAATAAGATGCTCAGATTGGCCTGGACTGATTCACAAGCCCATCCCAGGAGTTGTGTCTATCAGTAACACATGAATGGCACAGATGATTTGACTTAAAATAGGGGTATGGTTATCAGAAAAAGAGCAGATGTGTCCTGGGTAATGGAAACAGCAGACACACACACATCCCTGGTATTTTATTGAGGTCTCCAAACATTCTTTCCCTACATATGCCTTCACTGATATCTATGGCTACTCAATGTAATGACATTTTTTTTTTACCACCCAAAATGTACTCACATCTAGGTCCTACAAATAACTCCCAAGTCCAGGATAGTAAGGTGATATGCATGCCTCTCTATCATAAAGCAATTTGATAAAGTTCTTCATGGCCTAGTAACCTAAGGATATATGATAAAATTAACTAGAAAATACTTAATATATAATGACAGAAAAAAAGAACAACTGCAATGAAAACTCTTATTTGGAAATATGAATAATGACAAACACAAAATGTCTCCAATTCATAGCATATGTCATATCTTACTAGACAGGGATAGCAAGGGCTTCGTAACATGAGAGGGGAGAAAGTTCTTTGATCAACCAATCTGGCTGCCATATGTTCTATTTTTGGAGGATCTCTCATTCATTATTTCCTCCATGGTTACGTCTGTAACGGACAATGGGGAGGAGAATCCTTTAGGGACTACACCTCTTCAGCATTCTCCTTCCTGATCTAGTGGGAATTGAAAAATCACTTCCTATGGCAAAGATAATTAGCTTTTACCATCCAAGAGTTGTGAAGCTCTTCTGTTGTATACAATTGTTGCTGAGAACTAGCTACCTAGCCAGGGGCTACATTTCCCAGCCTCCTTGTTAACGTTGCTGAAGTCACATGACTATCTCTGCTGGAATATGAGTGAAAGTAATGTGTACCACTTCTAGCCAATTTGGTTAAGTAGTAGGTATGCCTTTGCCAGTCTTTTTTCCCTCTTCTGGTTGCACCGAGAGGTCTCTAAGGACCTGGAGGACAGTAGAGCCATAAGATAGAAGGAGTCTGGGTAGTTGAATGATTTTGTAGAAGACCACCTGCTACTTAGGGGCACTGATGTTGGACTTTACAAAAGTGAAAAATAAATATCTATTGTGTTAAGCTTAAGTAACCGAGCCTTTCTTCTCCACACTTAGGGTTTCTCTCACAGTACAATTTTCTTTAATTCTTTTTTTTTCTTTTTTCTTTTTTTTTTTTTTTTGAGACAAAGTCTTGCTCTTGTTGCCCAGGCTGGAGTGCAATGGTGTGATCTCGGTTCATGCAATGTCCACTTCCTGGGTTCAAGCAATTCTCCCACCTCAGCTTCCTGAGTAGCTGGGATTACAGGTATGTGCCACCACACCTGGCTAATTTTTGTATTTTTAATAGAGACGGGGTTTCACCATGTTGGCCAGGCTGGTCTTGAACTCCTGACCTCAGGTGATCTGCCTGCCTCGGCCTCCCAAAGTGCTGGGATTACAGGTGTAAGCCACTGCACCTGGCCCAGTTTTCTTTAATTCTTAGTAAACTTCTAGTCTATTTGCATCTGGCCAATTCCATGGGGGGGGGGATTCCAAAGCCAGAGGATTTTTTTAAGCTTCAGTCTTTGAATCTAGATTTTCATCTGAGCATTTTTGTCTTTTAGTAATAGGCCCTGGTATTCTAACTTAAAGGCCTCTATTTTGGTTTCTGCCTGATAACAATTTGAAACAATAGCCACTGGGTTTGCAAGGGGAGGGAGTGATGCAAGGGGAGGGAGTGAGCTGGTGGTGGAGGGAGTAGAATTGAATAACTATTACCTTTCTCAGCAGGCAGGAATTGCTTGAAAGAGGCCTGAGTGTATTAAGACTTCTCCCTAGTGCCAATCTTATCCATTCTTGCTTTCATTAACATTAACATTCTCTTGGGGCTTTTTCAACCCTTTATGGCTTCAGATTATTGATGTTTCTGTCATCTTTTATTGCAGCCTATAAGCAAAAATGTTCACTTGTAGCAAAGTGATATCTTTTCCTCTCTGCCTTAGATAAATCAATCTCAGTCCTAAGTTTGAGTCTTTCTTATAGGACATTACTAAAAACTAACAAGTAATAGTTGATATATTTTAGTATCTGACCTTTTAACAACAGGCCCTTTTACATTTTATCCTTGATAGGCACATGTTCTGAATCCCCCTATACAACAGGTGTCAGTTTAACCTACTGCTTTGCTATTAAAGTCCCAGCCTGATACCAATGAGGCCTCATCTGAATCAACTACTTCAACATTTCTGGATCTTTCTGTTACTAATCCCCACTCCTGGTACCAATTTATGAATTGTTAGAGCTATTTTAGTGAAAAACTAGTTATGTATTTAGCTTAAGGCATGGTTTGATCCAAGGGCTTAAGCAATGTCATTAGAATTCTATTTCTTTTCATCTCTTGACTCTGTCTTGTGTTGGCTTCATTTTTAGGCTCCATGTGGTGGCTGCTAACAGCTCAAGTTTACATAATCCTTACTGTTAGCAATCTCAGTGGAAGAGTGCATGCCTCCTTCTCACAGGTGCCAGCAATAGTCTTCTTACATTTCATTGGCTCTGATTGGGACATGTGGCTAGAGGAATCCAGTAGCTCAGAGCTGATTCATGTCATTAATGTTTTTGAAAATGAAGTTTACTCCACCTAAAAGACATTGAAGTAACAGAAGAGGAAAATCAGGCGATGGTTGTCAGAAGAAGGGTGAATGGTTAGTAAGAGGCAAACAAACGGAGTGTCTCATTAGATACCAATGTGTAGTGTTTCCTAATTGCTTCACATGTGTTGGTTTTATCTCCTTCACTGGGCTGACTGTAAGTGTCTCAAGAGCAAGATCATGTATTATATGTCTTAACAGTGCCAACTCAGCAGGCAGTCCTTAGATACTAGCTGATTTATGGCCTCTTCTTTTATTACTAAAGATGGCACACTCTACGAAGGTAACGAGAGCTTAATAAAGGGATAATTTATAGAGGGATGGAAGTGGTTAAGGGAACCAACAAGGAATGGTAAAGCACTTAAGGACTGGCAACAATGGGAGAACTTAAGCTTGAAGGAACAGGCGAGGGGAGCTATTAGTGGAACCCTGTAAGAGCTGTAGCTCGGAAAGGGATGCCTGACAAAGGCTGTTACTATAAATAAAGAAATACAGTCACTGCCGAAATGTGGCCCAGCAAAGGACTGGGGAATAAACACTTGTCCTCTTTTCTTCCCATCCTCCAAACTTCTGTTGGTACCACCTATTGACCAATCCAGAAACCAGAGGGCTTGTGTGGCACAGTCTGTAGAGTTCAGCTTCCAGTAAAATGCAAGACAAATAGGGTAAAAAATGGACCTGTAGGTGTAAATGGTAAATTGCCAGGATACTCCTCTTATGTTCCTTGAACAACCCTAAGTACAAGCAATTCCTCTTCTGTGTTAACCATATCGATTGGATTTATCTGGAAAATATAACTTTACCCTTTTCAATAGACTTGCTAAATATATAACCAATGTGGTTTAATTTTAATAGCATTTTAAGACTTTAACATTCGTGAATTCATAAATCATAAAAAGCCTATCGTTAGCCCATGTAGTTGAAAAGGTATCGTCATTGTATTGATATGGAACTCCTCAAGAATATTGTACCTGGCAATTCATCAGAAAGTCCTGGCACAGCACTCATCACAGAGTGACAAATTTGATAAATGTTTGATGATTTGAAGAATGATTAAATGAATAAATTAAAGCATTTCAAGCTGGAACACTGTAAGTGGAAAACTAGATGGGTTTTCCTTGTTAGAGGTTGATAATAACTATACAACATCTAGCAATCCTGTCCCTTAAAGCCTGACATCAGCTTCTTAGTTGTTCATCAAGGTCTTATCTCTTACAGAAAATGGAACCGAATAAATTTACTTTGTCAATCTTCAGAAGTTTCATAATTAACTGTCATGCTAATAAATTCACTATAAAGTCAATTTCAGTTAAGGGACTATTATATTTCCTATCAAAAACTGGGTTTCCTATGGAATTGTCACTCAGATATAAGAAAAATAAATATACTTGCTTCAATAAGTAAACTAGAACTGTAAGTGCCAGTCCAAACTTTCTCTAAAATATTTTATAGTTAAGCCCAAAATAATCTATACTGCTGTTCTTTCACAATCCTGTGTACATAGGACTTAAAGTCCTATACTTAAAGTCCTGTGTATGTAAGACTTAAGTTTACACAATGCTTTCTTATGTGACACCATTCATTTATTCCAACAAAAAATACTACTGAGAACATGCTATGTGCCACACGTAATCCCTGCCCTCAAGGAACTTACAATATAACAGTGCTTCTCAAACTTTTATGAGACTGAATCACCTGAGGATCTTGTGAAACTACAGATTCTAATTCACTAAGTCTGGGATGGGCCCTGAGACTACATGTCTAACCAGCTCCCTGGTGATGCTGATACCACTTGGAGTAGCAAAAGTCTAATGGATTTATTTAATCTTCACCACAACCACCTCATAGGAAAAGTATCAGTGTTTTGTTTCTTATCTGGAGCACTTAACTATATACAAAACACTGTGCTATGCCTTTTGTAGATAAACAATTCAGTTAGATATAGAGACATAGGCTTTTAGGAAACTCACTATACAGATGCTCCTCCACTTATGAAGGGATTATATTCCAATAAGCCCATTTTAAGTTGAAAATATTGTAAATCACAAATGCATTTAATACACCTACTGAATGTCATAGCCTACCTTAAACACACTCAGAACACTTATACTAGCCTACCGTTGGGGGAAGTTGTCTAACACAATGTCTATTTTATAATAAAGTGCTAAGTATCTTGTGTAATTTATTGAATACTGTACTGAAAGTGAAAAATAGAATGGTTGTATGGGTACTCAACAGTAAAATTTCTACTGAATGTAAATCACTTTTGCACCATCATAAAGTCAAAAAATCCTAAGTGGAACCATTGTCAATCAGGGACTGTCTGTATAGCAGAAACAGCTAGTGTAAAAAGTAGTTATAATTGTATTATTCTGTTTATATAAAATGTCCAGAAAGGGAAAACATATAGAGACAGAAGGCAGATTGGTGTTTCCTGGGCCAGGGGTGAGAATGGTGATTAACTATAAATGATCATGAAGGATCTTTTGGGGGTGATGAAAATGCTTTTAAATTGGATTATAATAATAGCTGCACACCTCAATAAATTTACTAAAAGTATTTGAATTGTACACTTGAAATGAGTGAATTTTATGATATGTAAATTATACTTCAAAAAAATTGTAAAATAATCATGTATAATGTGAAAAAATCCAATAATAAAAACACGTCTTAACTCCCTTTCACAGCCAAGGAAATGGAGCTCATAGAGGCTAATTTGCCCAAACTCACATAACTAGTTGGTGACAGGGTTAGCATATAAATCTAGTCCTATTAAGCCAAAAGCAGTCATTGTCGGAAACCTCCTCTTCAGAGGAGGTATAGAAATGTATGCCAGGAAATAGGTACCCTTCCACCTAGAGGGCATTTGCCTCTCTCTGTGAACCCTCCTCACTCTGTGAGGCAAAGATCATGCTGTGTGGTGACCTAGGTGGCATTCCATAAACATACTGCCATCTGAAAGGGCTGTGCAAGCCAGCTAGTTTCTGGCAGACCCTTTGGCTTCACTGGGGTTTTTAGTTTCAAGCAACAAAAATCAATCCTGTACGATTTGGTAGCAAAGGAATTGGACAGCCCACAGAATCATTATGTGAGTTGAGAACCAAGCTCAAAGCGGTGCAGCCAAGACCAAAGTCCAAAATAATGCTGCAGAGGCAGTCCAGTGAGAAGATTACTATTACTAATGCTGCTGGACATGTTAGACTCTGCTCCTTTCTGCACCAACACCACTGCTTTGGGAACTCAATTTGGCCACAACTGCACCATTGCAAGAGAGAGAGAACTGACAGCTATCCTTGCTCCTTTGTGTTATTAGTTCCTGACTCAAAGTCATGCAGGTGCTTCTGATTAGAGGAGGGTAGCTCATGCACCTGAATCCAAGTTGCAGGGGAGGATGGTGAAGTGACTATGTTTCAACTTCTATCAGTTTCTAGAAAGTGAGAATCAGGCTTTACTTCCTTCTAAGACTCACATACCAGTGCATTCTCCAAGCTTAGACAGTTCAGATGCTGGGCTGGGAAAACATAAACAAAAACAAAAATTCCCCCCAAAACAGATATCCACTACAGCATTGCAGAGTGGTCCATGGAGCAGCAGCATCAATATCAAACGGAAGCTTGTTAGAAATGCAGAATCTCAGGCAGGGTGCAGTGGCTCACGCCTGTAATCCCAGCACTTTGGGAGGCCGAGGTGGGTGGATCACGAGGTCAGGAGATCAATACCATCCTGGCTAACTTGGTGAAACCCCGTCTCTACTAAAAAATGCAAAAAATTAGCCAGGTGTGGTGGTGGGTGCCTGTAGTCCCAGCTACTCGGGAGGCTGAGGCAGGAAAATGACGTGAACGTGGGAGGCGGAGCTTGCAGTGAGCCAAGATTGTGCCACTGCACTCCAGCCTGGGCAACAGAGCAAGACTCTGTCTCAAAAAAAAAAAAAGAAAGAAAGAAATGCAGAATCTCAGATCCTTTCCAGAATCTCAGATCCTGGTTTGGTTGTGTCCCCACTGAATCTCATCTTGAGTTGTAGCTCCCATAATCCCCACATATCATGGGAGGGAACCAATGGGAGGTAACTGAATCATGGGGCAGGTTTTTCCTATGCTGTTCTTATGATAGTAAATAAGTCTCATGAGATCAAATGGTTTTATAAAGGGCAGTTCCCCTGCACACGCTGTCTTGCCTGCCACCACGTAAGACGTGCCTTTACTCCTCCTTTGCCTTCCGCCATGATTGTGAGGCCTCCCCAGCCACGTGGAACTGTGAGTCCATTAGACCTCTTTTTCTTTATAAATTACCCAGTCTTGGGTATGTCTTTATTAGTGGTGTGAGAATGGACTAATATAGCTTTCTAACAAGCAGTCAGGTGATTTGTATGAATATTACAGTTTGAGAAGTGTTACTCTATAAGACATACTGTTTTAAAAAAAATTTTCAAAGATCACTCATCATTCTGCTCTACTCATTCATAGGGTTACTAGATTTAATGCAGGACATGGCACTCAGTTAAATTTGAATTTTAGATAAACAAGGAATAATTTTTAAAATAAGTGTGTTCCATACAATATTTGTTATACTAAAAAATTATTCCTTGTTTATCTGAAATTCAAATTTAACTGGACATCCTGAATGTTATCCAGTAATCATCCTTACAATCATCCACACAACCCTCACCTTATAATTAAGAAAAATGAAATAAAAGAATGGGAAATTAACATAACTTCCTACTGAAATGCATTTATATCAGTTTTCTATTTTGGCATGGTAGACTATAAGTGTCATGGAAACTGCACAAATCCAAGCACACTCTGCATTCTGCTTAAGCATTTGATGCTTGAGGTCCTCTATAATTTGAAGGGTGAATGTTAACTGTTCTGTGAGGTAAGAGTTATTTTTTTAATATACCTATGAATTTTAACTAATTTCACTTAATGAGTTTTGACCAATAACACCTTTATCTCACAGAACCTGACCATATAGACTGAGTAAATAAAGAAAG